TCAAATGAGATCTTACTTGTGCTTTTAGTACAAAGGGTTCATGAACTGTATCTGTTTCAGTTTGGGAATGCCATATCTGGGGATTTTTCAAAAATGGGCTTGAAGCTTAACAGGTTAAAGTAATTAGCTCCGACCCTCAGAAAGTCAGATATTGTGGTTTGAATAGGGTCATTTTCTCTCTCTCTCTCTCTGAGCCAATATGGCAAGCCGCTTTAACATTTAATCATTTTAACCTACTAGTCTCTATTTTCATGCTACTAGTACTTATTTTTAGATACTAGTATCTATTCCATTAAGTACTGGTACTTATTCATTAGCGACTAGTGCTTATTCTTTAGTACTAGTGCCTATTCTTTAGATACTAGTGCTTATTCTTTAGATATTCTTTTGAATACGTATTAGTAGCTAATGAATAAGTACTGGTATCTATTTAATAGGTACTAGTATCTAATGACTTAGTACTAGTATTTATTGAATAAATACTAGTATCTATTAATAGGTACTAGTATCTAAAAGGTCATTTTCTCTTTCTCTCTCTCTGAGCCAATATGGCAAGCCGTTTTAACATTTAATCATTTTAACCTACTAGTCTCTATTTTCATGCTACTAGTACTTATTTTTTAGATACTAGTATCTATTCCATTAAGTACTAGTACTTATTCATTAGCGACTAGTGCTTATTCTGTTTAGAATATTCAAAGTGCTTATTCAATTTTTTTGCTTATTTATATTTTCAGAGCAGAAAATCCGATTTTTCTGCTTATTCAATATTGCATCTAAAAATGTAAGTGACTTGACGTGTGTGTGTGTGTGTGTGTGTGTGAGAGAGAGAGATGTGTCTGTTACAGTGACAAGAGTTTAACCCTTTAAGGCCTTGTCTTTTTGGATATATATTTTTTTTATTAAAAAAAATGTGCATACAACCCATATATTTTAAATTTATTGTTTGCTTTAAATTAAATTAAGATTGTATGTTTGGTAATTGAACCTAAATAAATTTTTAATTAATGTGCTATATTTCAGATCAATATATTTGTTTTCCTTCATTTTAATCAACACTAACTTTATTCTCATCTGAATTATAAAGAATTTATTTCTGTATAAAATAAAAAATCCCGAATAATCCAGACCAACCAGAGCGCACTATTTCTACAACATCATCAGTGCTGAAGCGAAACTACCAGAGCCGTTCGGCAGATAGCAAGCAGATATTTTGTGTCACGTCGTGCACAATAACCCTAAAGGCACCAGGGTGGCGGTGCCACCGGCTTTATATATATATATATATATATATATATATATATATAAATATAGCTGCGAGCAGTGATTACGGGCCCAAGCCGGCGGCACCGCCACCCTGGTGCCTTTAAAGGCACCGGGGTTGCGGTGCCACCGGCTTGGGCCCGTAATCGCTGCTCGCAGCTATATTTTTTTTTTTTTTTTTCTCCTCTTTTATTTTTCTTACGACTATTCGGGCACTTTTGGGGCTCTTAACGTGCACGAAAACTCTTGAAACTTTGCACGCGGGTCAGAACCCGCGGCCATCAGGGTCGGGGTGAAGATGGTACCCGGGCGTGGCAGGGGGGCTCGACAGCGCCCCCTGGAACGGGGTCCGAAAACTTGGTCCATAAATCAAACACGCTTGTATGTAAGAATATGAAACTCGGTACACATATAGATCTCATCGGTTCATATATACTTCATGCTCTTACTTTTTACCCCAGCCCAACAGGAAGTCGGCTATTTAGGGTTGTTTGTAAAACGCATGCAATGGAATTTAAAGTACTTCTCCTAGAGAATTCATAGAAATGCCACGAAACTCGGTCAGCATGAAGTCAAGACATTGAGGATGAAAAATTGCGAGGGGATTTTTGATATCTCGAACGGTTTGGCCGTGGCGAGGAAACGAAATTATGGCGAGAAACGTGAAACAGGAAGTGTGTTATAACTTCTGCATACATTAACTGATCTTGATGAAACTTCAGCAGTGTGTTCGTTGTAAGAGGCCGATCACATGGATGTGACTATTGTGAGTCAAAGTTATAGCGCCACCAACTGGCAGCAGGAAGTGTGTCACTTTCAAAATGCTTCGAAATCACCCTCTTATTTTAACCCAATTTGCTTCAAACTTCATCTGTATAATGTAAACACACGCCAGATGTAGACCTGTGAATGGATTCTTGATATCTTTGATACTGTTGCCGTGGCAACACATCAAACTTTAAAATTCTTTTTTGATGCTTTTGAGACTCTTAGCATGCTTGAAATTGCATGAAACTCGACAGACACGTCACATTTATTAGCCAGTAGACATGTGCAAAGTTTCAGAAACGGGCGTGGTGCAGGGACTCAGTAGCGCCACCTTTTGACAAAATTGAGATGGTTAGTTTCATAGTTTTACCTGCAATCTTATAACTCGGTAGGCATATTGTTCAGATCAAGCCGGACAACTTTCTAATTTACAGATTTTGGTTCCGAACAACAGGAAGTCAGATATTTTGGTTTGAATGTGGATGCTTTGGAGTAATCTCTGTCCCTCTCTCCCTCTCTCTGCATACCTCTGTGTCTGTGGGGGGAGGGGGATGTGTCTGTTTGAGTGACAATGCTTTTAATTATTGTTGATACAGGTTTCAGGGGCTTTTGGGCCCCTTAACATCCTCTAAAACTCTTGAAACTTTGCACACGGGTCAGAACCCGCGGCCATCAGGGCCGGACTGAAGCTGGTACCCGGGCGTGGCAGGGCGGACCGACAGCGCCCCCTGGACTGGGATTCGAACACTTGTCCATAAATCAAAGACACTTGCATGTAATAATATGAAACTCGGTACACTTATAGATCTCATTGGGATGAACAACTTTCGTGCTCTAAGTTTTACGACATCCCAACAGGAAGCCGGCTATCATGGTTTGTTTGGAAACGCATACCCCTGAAATTCTTTTTAATTCTCCTTGGGAATTGATCGGATTTCAAGCAAACTCGGTCAGCATGAAGTCAAGACATTGATGATGCTAAATTCCGGAGGGATTTTTGATATCTCGAACGGTTTGGCCGTGGCGAGGAAATTAATTTTATGACTAAAAAAGGACACATAAAATGTGTTATAACTTAGCTCGTTTTACCTACAGTTACAAAACTTGCCACGCATATTGTTCTCATCAAGCCGATCAATTTTCTAATTTAAAGTCATTAGCTCTGAGCAACAGAAAGTCAGATATTGTAGTTTGAATGGATTTATTGTCCCCCTGCCATTCTCTCTGGCTGCGTTCCAAACCGCATACTCAATGAGTAGGTACTTAATTTCAATGAGTACTTACTTAACGAGCGCTAAAAGAGTAGGTACTTAATAGCCAAATCTCGTTGAGTATGAATGCGATCCGGACATCATCCGCCATGTTGACGTTATCATGTGACCTATGACGTTATCACAAGCGCAACAATTTAAAAGTAATGAGCAACAGGTGCACCACCGACATCTCACTGCATCAGTACAACCTAACTAGAACAGTTTTTCATCAGCGTTTGAAATGGTTGGCATGTCTGCAATAGTTAGACGAATGTGTGCACAAAGGAGACGTCGGGCTGCTGCTCGGAGATCTCGCCTTTGGAGAAGACTGATGATTTTACACTCAAACAAAGCAAGTATTACTACTTAAAAAAAATAAGATTACCCCAGAATGAATTGCATTACTAGCCCACCCCAACACTTATGCACAATAATGACAAATGCTGACCAGCACTTAATTATATAACATTTTCTTAATTAAAATTATATATTTTGGTAAAACAAGCAAACTGTTGTATTGTCATATCATATGACATAGATGTATGAATACACACTAGACAAATGCAGCTGATGTGAATACATACAATTTCATTCAAGCAATGATTAATGCAAGAATTCATGAAATGAATATTTTATTGAAACATGAATAAATATTTAATATGAAACATGAATAAAAATAAGTAAGTAAATGAATGAATAAAAGATATCATATCATCACAATAAATAAATACATATACAAGTCAATACCACATGAAACATCGCTTTATTCAAGCTTTTTGTTCTAACAAACTATGATGTATTTATTGCAGGCAGTGAACCCCACATCATACTGCCATCTCAACAGAGCTGTTCCCATTCTGCGGCTTTATTTTGATGAAGCAGCTGACCACCGTGCCCACCTTCGCCTGTCTCTGCCGTCCATCAGGTCCCTGATTGCTGCAGTCAGACTGGGATCTGACCATGGATGGGAACGGGAGATTGAGGTGCTTGTGTTCCTGCACTGGCTGGCCCATGCAGCGTCTTACAGGGTGGTGTCGCAGGCCTTCGATATCCCAAAGACCTCTGTGTATAACATTGTGCACAGAGTGAGCAAGGCCATCATGGGAATTTTGAGGAGGGTGATCTGCTTTCCGACCGGAGATGACCTGGAGGCAGTGGGAGCAGGATTTGCACAGCTGTCTGGGTCACCAGCTTTCAGCAGAGCAGTTGGTGCAATAGACGGCTGTCATATCCGTATCAAACCTCCAGCAAATAACTCCCACTGCTACTTCAACAGGAAGCTGTTTCACTCCATCCAACTCCAGGCCATCTCTGATCACCGGGGGAAATTCCTTGATGTGTTTGTGGGGTATCCTGGGTCTGTGCACGATGCCAGGGTGCTGAGGAACAGTCCAGTGTATGCTGGCGGCCTTTATCCACCTGCAGGCAAGTGCATCCTCGGGGATGGAGGCTATCCTTGCCTGAGTGCCCCCATCTGCCTCATCACCCCGTACAGAGAGCCGGTGCAGAACCCTGTGCAGGCTCGGTTCAACAGCAAGCACTCCCGTGCCCGCAACATCGTGGAGAGAGCGTTTGGGATGCTGAAGACACGCTGGCGCTGTATCTTCTTCAAGGCCTTGGAGGTGAGCCCTGCCTTCGTGCCTGAGGTTGTTGCGTGCTGCGCTGTGCTTCACAATCTCGCTCTAGCCAATGGGGACATCGTTGAGCCAGAGGATGAGGAAGACCTTGATGACGGCCTCCCTAATCCCCACAACCTTGAAGCAAGAGTGGGAGAACATGCACGGGACAATCTGGCTGCTGCGGTGTCTGCTCCAAACATCCCTGTGCCGGCTCTCCATGAGCACGACTACCTTTAAAACATTTAAGAAAATTAAAATGTTTTACAATTCATTTTGTCAGCATTCCGTTTCTTGCCAAATGTAATTTTATAGGTTTACAATTACATGCAAATATTAGTTAGAGCTTTACTACCTTTGTAGTGTAGTGGGCTAAACCACTGAACTGGTTAGCAGAAGATTGCTGGTCGATCAGCAAGGCTCTTTACTCCAGGTTTGTCCAGGGTCATTCTCCCTGTAATAAATGCATTTAGTCACTTTGGATAAAAACATCTGGCAAATGCATAAATGTGATTGATTTTTGTACAGCTTTTTTTTTTAAATGGTCTCAGACATAAACGCTCAAAGCTGCTTATTTCATCAAGGTATTACTATAATACAAAATGCATACATTTACTACAATTTCTATTTGGTGGGTGAAAGGGTTAGTTCACCTCAACATATAAATACAGCCATTATTTATGTGCTTTCATGCTGTTAGATCCCTCTGTTTTTTTGTTGTTTAAATACAAAAGGGAATTTTTGTCAAGTTTGTTCTGCTGGTTTCATACAATATCAGTCAATGGAGCCCAACTTTCAGAAGCTTCCTGGCATTTTGATTATGCTTTTGAAGCTTCTGAAAGTCTATTGAGTGGTATTGTATTAAACCAACAGTACAAACCTGACCAAAATCACCTTTTGTGTTCAGGAAAAAAAAACAGAGGGATCAAACAACATGAAGGGGAGTAAATAATGACTGAATTATTTGCTTGGGTTCATTAACCCTTTTTTTGCTTGGGTTCACTAACCATAGTTAATGCAAAACTTAAGGTAGTTTGTGTAAACAGTCTCAAGTTCAGCTTAGGTCATGGAGGGCTATTGTCCAACCCTAATTATACACACCTGAATCAATTTAAACCAATTAGTAACTGACTACTTGAAAATTACAGACAGGTGTGCAAGAACTGAACCCTCCATGACCTGCCTTGACAATCCCTGCATGAGCTCTGTGTGCATTTAGAAATCATATAATACACTCCAATAAAACAGTTGTTTTAAAGTTGTTTTTTTTTACATTACACCACACATTCACTAATTATTCATCACTTCATAAATATTTAATTTATGAATTTTATCACAATCTTAAAGTATCAATAAATTCCTAGAAGTCTATAATGTAGGCTACTGTGAATGCCTAGAAATTGTTTGTTTTATATACATAGTATTGTACAAAAATCTTAGGCCACCATTTGTTGTTGTTGCACAGTACTGTGTGTGTATGTATATATATATCATTTAATTCATTTTAACCCAATTGTGTAAATGATCATAAGATGTTTTTTGTTAATGAATTTATTTTTTGGCAAGGATTTCAAGGACAGAAAGGAATTTTTCATCCCTTTCTTTTGTTTCTTTATCTCTCCTTTCCTCTCTCTCGATTGCCTCCCGGTGCCATCTCTCTTCTCTTTCTCTTACTTCTCTTTCTTGCCTTTCGTCTTTCTCTCGTCTCTCCCGTTCTCTTCTGTCCTCCTTCTCCTCCATTCCTCTCCACAGTCTCTCCTCCCTCTCAGTTGCTTTCCTCTCTCTCTTCTCTTCTCTCTCCTCCATCTCCTGGATCAGGTCCTCCAGATCTTTCACCCTTTTCCTGGCTCTTGCTGGCTCTGGCCTCACTGAGGATGAAGAGGATGAAGAGGATGAAGAGGCCACAGCAACATCCGGCCCACATGAGGCAACGAGGGCAGGAGGAGTGATGGATGGTCTGCCCCCGATTGCCTCATCCATGGCAGTGTACCACTTCCAGGACGCTGCTGTGGCCCCTCCATCCTCAGTGCTCACCCCTGTCTGCGGACATTTCAGATCCTGCAAAAATGCACAAGCATGATACAAAAGCAGTCATTTTAACATCACAATATTTAATTATTTTATTTCTGTATTAGAAGTAACAAAATTATCTTACTTTGTATTTTTGTTTAAGGTTTTCCCATTTTTTTTTTACAAATGCCGCCGTCACCCTGCCTTGTAGGTCCTGCTCCACCACAAAAGATCTGCAGCAAATGCAGAGAAATCAAGGATCAAAAAAGTGCTGTAATATCTCTGTTGAGATATACTACAAATAAACAATTAAATAGATTTTTTATTATTTCTGTATACTCACTCAAAGCCTTTGATGGCAGCATTCCGCTTCCCGGTGAAGAGGGCTTCATGAGCCACTCTCCACCGGATAAGCAGCCGCGTGTGCTCATCCGTCCCTGTAACATCCAGAGAAGATTTATGTTACCTCTGTGATTTATAAGCTCAATACTACATTTACATGTTGATCATAAATGTTCCACAATTTTTCAACAGTACTTATGGACAAATGAAATAGATTACTTATGTTTAGTTACTTTATGTAAATGTATTAAACATTCGTCTAATGAAAACAGTGTTGACAACAGTGAATTATCTTAAAGTCCCACTCCGATCATATTTTGAGCTATTTTTAAACATTCCCAGTGGTCTTTAAATTATGATTATGCCATTTTTAGCCAAAATCACAAAACCTGTGCTGTTTTCTGGGACTTCGCTTCAGCAGAGCGGCAGTAGCTCATTAGCAATTCGCCTCTGCGTTGTGGGCGGAGCCGTTGGCACGGATACGACCCTCCCCCTGCCCGTTGCTGAGAGCTCTGTCTCTCCCGCTAGCTTACACCCCCAATACCGGTGGGACAACAGTATTATATACACGTTAATTATTATTATCCGAAGTTAATCAAAGTTATTACCGATCACCGATTATTATTTCACACCAAGACGTCGCGTGTGGAGACGCCCAGTGGAGTTACTACGTCACAACTCCAGTCGATTTTAGCCGGCATTTTAGCGTCTGCTACTGATTCACAGCCATTTGAATGTAGAAATACTCAGAAATACAACTTTGAGCTTATTTTTCTCAAGATATGTCCGCTAACATCAGAAAAATGCCACAAGAACATGTTAACACCTAGAAAAACATTATTTTCATCGGAGTGGGTCTTTAAACAATAGTACACATACATAACTCAGAAGTCTATTTCATATCTATTAGACGTAGAAATATGCAATTCTTATATTAGATTTTCTTACCAGATATTAAATAGACATTTAGTAATTGTATTAGAGATGCATACGGTTTAAAATGTATGCAAATCCACTTTGGAGACGTATGTGTCCTTACTGGAGCTCCTCTGTTAGCTAACTTAATAAAATGTGATTTACAGCAAAATCACAAATTTACCATACTATATAGCGTCTTTACACCTTCAACAATTCAACAGTTTACTGTTCAACACATGCGATCATTCGATTTGTAATATCTAATACTCACATTTGAAAACACTCTCGTCCGTCATCATTTGCGTCATGTTCGAGTATGACCTATCCTTCTTCTTCTTTTTTATGACGTATCCTCTCGCGTGGCCTCCTGGGATAGAAGAGTATCCATCGGTTGAGCACTCAAAAATCTGGCCGGAAGCAGTAAGCCATCCGGGAACTTCTCGCCTACTCTTTTATGAATACTGATGTTTCGAACGTACTGCTTCCTTCACGTACTGTTTTTGCCTACTATATAGTAGGAGAGTAGGCATATTGGAACGCACTTAAGTCCGAATCTCGCGATAATTAGTATGTCACCCAGGTAATTCTCGCCTACTCTTTTGGATTCATACATACTTTTTCGCTCGCCTACTCTTTTTCCCATACTAAATAGTAGGGAAGTATGCGGTTTGGAACGCAGCCTCTGTGTGTGTGTGTGTGTGTCTGTGTGGGAGGAGGGGAGGGGAGGGGAGGGGAGGGGAGGGGAGGGGAGGGGAGGGGAGGGGAGGGGAGGGGAGGGGAGGGGAGGGGAGGGGAGGGGAGGGAGGGTTGGTGTCTGTGTTTATGTGTGTGTGTGTGTGTGGCTGGCTGTATGATTTTTCCTGCATTAAAGGATAAAGAAATCTCTAAGTCCTTGTCTTTTTGCATAACAATTTTGTATTTCTTTTTAAATTACAAAATATGCATATAACCCCCATCTTTTAAATGTAAGATTTAAAAGATTAAAGATTTAAATTTAAAGATTTAAATAAAAAAAAAAAAAAAAAATTTAAAGATTTAAATGTAATTGTCATTTAAGTTCAGTAATTTCACTCAAATGACAATTAATAGGTAATCTTCATTGCCATTTAAGTGAAATTACTGAACTTAAATATACAAGCTTGATAAAAATGATAATTCTAGAAGAAAATTTCAAATGGCTTTTGCATCTGAACTCTTCATATATTTAAATGTTATTTTTAATGTGATTACCAAAACATTATTTGATCATCCTTCAAAGATGACACCCATTTATAAACCTGAAAGTTTCAAGATGTAGGAAAACTCACACTTATTTAAAAAATATTTTTTCTTTTAACAAATAGGAAATTTCTCTGGCATTTCTTACTTTTTGAAAACGTACCGAACCGTGACTTTAAAACCGAGGTACGTACCGAACCGTGATTTTTGTGTACCGTTACACCCCTACAGGTAAAATAAGTGTTTTCTTACAATATTAATGGGAATTTTTCAATTTAAGAATAATGTACAAGTTTAAAAACAGCCAGAATGTGCTATTCAGTTAAAAAATAAATACATCAAGTAATACAAAGGGCTATACTGCCCTCTTGTGTCCAAAATGATATCAACTCAGTACATAAAACTTTTTTTATCAGGTATGGCTATTGTAATTAAATATAAATATATTAGGTATGTGGCTGTGAGGATCTTTTCCCACCGGTTAATCGACGTTAGACACCAGCGAGGCCTTTTAAATCGCTAATATAAAAGTGAAAGTAAAGTATAAGGACGTCCGCACGGACATTTATAGTGGTGGCGCTCGCAGTGCGCTCGAATGAATTTCTATGGAAGTAGAAATGAAAAAACGTTCGCTCTGTTCTGCTTGCTCGTCGCCATGGACGCGCACCGTTATGAATGCCAGTGCAGCCGCATACTTTTTAGTGTCACTTTAAAATTAGCACCATATCGGGGGCCGATTGTTTCCGGTTTTCAGGTAAAACACAACAACAAATGAGTAAATGACAGATTCGCTTAAATAGGCGCTTTTACACAAAATATTCCGTCATCATTTTTTTCAGTCAGCTCTTCACTCTCGTGATTAATGAATTTTGACTCCTGTTGCTGATCTTTGCTGCAACTTTCGTTCAGCTCACAATTTAGTAAGCAAACACGCTTCAAATGTGTTTTTATTTTATTTTTGTGTATACATGTGTGTGTATATATATATATATAATATATATAGCTTATGTTTCAAATATGAGTTAATTAACAATCGTTGGAAAGAATGATACTTTTAAACATAACACTAAACCGTCATTAGGTGTCGCCAGGCGACCGTCTTAATGAGCGAGTCATTGATTCATTCGTTCAAACGATTCGTTCGAACGGCTGAGTCATTCATGAATGAGACAGATTATGGATTGGTCGTTGAATCTTTGAGTCAACCGATTCGTTCAAAATGCTGAATCATTCAATAATGAGAACGCGTTGCTGTGAGATCCTCGATGGTTCTGCTGTGATCTTTGTTTAACTATTTTCGCTGCTGAAACAGAAAAAAAGTCAATATTGCATCTAAAATGTAAGTGATTTGACGTGTGTGTGTGTGTGTGTGTGTGTGTGTGTGTGTGTGTGTGTGATTGTGTCTGTTACAGTGATTGTTTAACCCTTGTTAAAGTTTAGGCCTTGTCTTTTTGGATATATATCTTTTTATATTAAAAAAATAGCATACAACCCATATATTTTAAATGTATTGTTTGCTTTAAATTACATTGAGATTTGTATGTTTGGTAATTGAACCTGAATGAATTTTAAATGAATGTGCTATATTTCAGATCATATATTTGTTTTCCTTAAAATTTGAACTAACACTAACTTTATTCTCATCTGAATGATAGATTATTTATTTATGTATAAAATAAAAACACATTTGATTTTTCTTTTTTAATCAATGTAGAATGTGTAACTGAAAAAATAAACAGATTAGGGCTCTGTTCGAGGACAAGAAATGAAAACCAATGCAATATGATGAATGTCCAAAAGATTTTTTTGCTTTTAAACTATGTGTGTGTGTGTGTGTGTGTGTGTGTGTGTGTGTGTGTGTGTGTGTGTGTGTGTGTGTGTGTGTGTGTGTAAGAGATTTTGGTTGGGTGACAGTTGTAGTTTAGCAGTACAGTTTGACAAAAGCACAATGTTGTGTTTTATTGCGATTGTACACAAATATAAGTAAACACTTTGCAGTTTGAATAATGTCCTGTATGAACAAAAGGACGGAGTATGTTTTTATGTCTACATTGTTCAATCACGCCTCACACACACACACACACACACACACCAACTATTTTTCTAATCAGATCAGGCAAATATTCTGTCTTGGCACACTTCATATAACTTTCAAACTTGTGTACTTATTTCACGTGTCTATTAAGTCCATGAGACCGTAGGGTGTCTCATTTTTCATTTTAGGTTTCAGAAGGTTGCTCACGCATACTTTGTGGTTGATATGTGCCCTCAATGCACACTTATGCAGAGCCCACACCAATGCAAGCTCTACAGCACACATCTTCTCAAAGGTCAAAGCGGGGTTACGTTATTGCCCGTCATGCACAGTAACCCCAAAGGCACCGGGGTGGCGGTGCCACCGGCTTGTTTATATATATATATATATATATATATAAATATAGCTGCGAGCAGCGATTTTGCTATTCGTTGTGTGTCTCCAAGCTGATCATTAAATATTTGTTCCAAGTTATTCTTCTTCATCACACCAGACCGTAATAGAAGAACCAACCTACCAAAATTAACTGGGCTCAAGACAAACTCCTCACAATCCAACAGAACGGACGGCCTTTGGAGTGGTATGTGGAGGAGTTTCTATATGTTTCCCATCTGGTGAGCTGGGTTACTATGATTAATGCCTGCTTCCGGATGGGACTGGATGACAATTTATTTTGATTCCTTTCTCCTGGTGATTGTTATAGGTCCGTAATGAACTTTATTAACTATGTCTTCGATTTAAATGGTTCGTATTTCTTTGTTGATATAACTGAGGACAATCAAAATCATCATTCAGTCCCTATCGGGAAACATGTAGGCGCCCCAATTCACCCTAAGTCAGCACCCTCCACATGCATCTCTAAGGTTTCCATGCCCTCCTGTTCACCCAAGATGGCCACCATCCCCGAGTCTCGTTCTGTCATGGCTGCCGCCACTCAAGAGTAGGGTTGGGTATCGTTTGGGTTTTTTACCCAAATACAATAATTTAACAATAAAGAACACTACAGTACTAATAACAGCAAAGTAATCTGTATTCTTGGTATGCTACAAACCAGCTTTAAAGTTCAGCCATTCTTTTCACATTTTTTTACTTCTCTGGCAAAATACAACACCTTTCCTGATTTACTGCATGTCCTGCACAACGTGAGCGTTATTTTAGAACGCATCACCTTAAATGCCGTGACGCGAAACCCCTCGTGGAAGAACAACCTCATATTAACAACTGTGACAATGAGCGCTCATCAGGATCAACTGAAGGCTGGATTTTCAAAAGTGTTTGAAGTTTGCGGCTCTATTGTTGCAGTAAACTTGCACAACGTTCTTGAATGATTAATTTATTAGATGTATGCTGGTCTGTTATTGTAGGGACATCGACTATACATTTTCATACTAAACATGACGCAGAACAAAACAAACTGTGATTGGTTGCGTTACATGTCAGTCAGTCCTTGGCTGATATTTTAGTTCTTAAATGCATGTGAGTGTTTTGTCATTTAAGAAACCTTTATAATGATCATGATTCATGTTGATCTATAACGCACAATGGGCGCCATGTTAGTACACACCGCAGTTCAGAGAATTGTATCTGTCAGATTTAGGCCTACAACACAATTCATCCACTTCTCCCGAAATACATTAAAGTAAGTGGCCAGTGAAGTGTGAGAAGAATAGAATACATTTTATAGTTACCTACACGTGTATCTAAACACGTCATCAATTGTTTAGATGAAAGGATTGTTATTGCTGCTTCCATAGGCATCATTGTGTATTTTACAAACTAGAAATGTTGCTTTGCTAATATGTGTATTTAAATGTCTGAAACCTAAAATAAACCTTATGTGGTTGAAAACACTGAGTAGTTGTGATATATGACAGTGCTGAGCACGTCTGTCACTGGCTCAGCGTCAGCCAATGCGAATGCAGATTTGAATTTAGAAGCTGTTGATCACGCGATCCGAACGTTCTAATGATCGATCGTACGCGTCAAAGCCGCCGCCACGCCAGAGCCCTCTGCCAAGATGGCTGCCACCAAGCCTGAATCTCCAGTCCCCGTCCAGTGTCCAGAGACGGCTCCAGTCCCCGTCCAGTGTCCAGAGACGGCTCCCTTGGCTCCCACCTGCACGTCATTCATAATCACCCGCACCTGTCAGTGATCTCCCTCATCAACAGCACTATAAGAACACTCACCTTGTCTTCCCTCATTGTCAGTTCTCGTTTGTATTTAGTTTTAAATAGAACTAGAACTTGTGCTAGTCTTTGTTATTCTCCAAGTAAGAAAATCTGATTGACGAATTAGTAAGTAATAGCACACAGATGAACCTCGGGGGCCCCGCAGGAGCTTGACGAAATTCGGACCCCTCGCTCGCAATCTGGGCAGCGGCCACAAGGGGGCGACCCCCCCTACCACCCGCGATCGTTTCGACGCGTGCCAAACAG